AGGTATGCCATGACGCAGTAGTCGCTGTTGTTGATGTAGCGCGTGTCCTGAGGGTGGTTTCCGTCAACGTCCTCGTAGATATGGTGCTCTTTGTACATTAGACTGACTTGCCTTGTTGTATCATCATTTGTCTCGTACTCATCCTGAGCGAGCTGCTGCAAGTGAGCGCGCTTGATGGGGCTTATGAAAGTCTTTTGCCATACGATGACCGTCATGCCCTGGCGGTATACCATGCCCTGATCCTTGAGCTCCTGGGATAATTGAGCATCGACTTGATGTGGTAGTAAGTGTATCGGGGGGCTATCCAGATTGATGTGGTAGCAGCTGCTGAGATGACCCTGCCCTCCCGCAGATAGATCCAGTTGATGTCTTTGCCACCTGAGTGTACCGAAGCCCTGGAGGATGCACTGCTGCCACTGCTGCTGGTCGAATTCTTTCATAGCTTTTAATGCTCGAACTCTGGCTGTCCTTCTGCTGTCGTTTTCATCCCAAGCTTCATTGCAGATGGCCTTCGCCAACAGTAGTGTCCTATGCGTGTCGACGCAGCCTTCGTCATCCAAGACCGAGTCCCTGAGCCCTGGTTGACTGATAATGGCTGTGTACACGTAAGGTGTGCCCCATAGTAGCCAATCTGCCCTCGCAATATCCTTGCTGCTCCAGGCCGCCTCAGCTGTCCATGAAATGGCACTTGCCCTGGGCTTTCCTGCCAACTGCTGGTAGGATGCGTTCTCAACCAGGTCTCTGAGGGTCGAGTTCGCGCCTTCTGTGTCGGAGCAATGACTGTCGCAGAGCACGCGTCCTCTATGGCAGCGGCCTGAGGTTCTTCCACTGCCAGTGTTTTGTGTGCAGCAGGGTTTGGGTCGCCCTCTGCCAACCTCTTCTCTGCCGCTGCGGCTGTTGCATCGCCCTTGCTTGCCCACTTGGCTGAGGAAGCCGCCATTGTAGCTGCTCCGTGCCCTTGGAGGTGTGCTCCTGGTAGCAGGCTGATTGGAGGCCCTGTGTAAGGGAAAGCCTCTTGCCCTGGGGAGCAAGGTTGGGTTGGCATCAGCGCTTGTGCCTGCTGGCTGCTGAGGACTGGCGTCTCTGGCATCGCCCACATCTGCGTTGGTGATGGGTGCCCTTGAGAGAAAAGGGGCTCCCCCTTCGGCGGCGGCGGTGGCTGCTGGGTCTGTGATGCCAGCAGCGTTGGCGCCTCTGCCGCTTCTCTCGCCACTAGCGCGGCTGCCGATGCTGCTGCCGCTGCCTCCGCCTCTGGTGTAATGAATGGCGGCGCTCCTCTCATTGGCGCACTTGCTGAGGCTTGCACCAGTATTGGGCTGGCTGGCTGTGGCTGAATCGGCGCTGCAGGCTGCACCGCTGAATGATGTCCCGCAGCGGGCTGCCCATCCGCCGCAAGATTCATGGCGGCTCTCAAATTGGCGGCGTAGTGCTCCCTTTGCATGCGCTGCTCGTGCTCGTAGGCCATCTGCCTCTGCATGATGAAAGCTTGCTGCGCCTGCTGCTGCACATTTGCCTGCTGCGGCATTGTCGCTGCCGCTGCCGCTGCTGCTTGCGCCAAGGCCGCTGCTCCCGTGGCGTCTGTGGGCCACGGGGTTGGGTGCGGTCCTGCTGCGCTGGGCTGAAATTGCGGCCCAAGCGAAATGCCGTTGGCCTGGATGAGCTCTGGAGCTGAAAGATGGTGTCTTGCATCTGCTGCTGCTGCACGTACATCTGCTGAACCTGGCCCGTGTTGTCGACTTGCATTGTGGCACCGTTGTCGCCCGTCTGCACCGCGGGCTGCAGGTCGATCATCTCTTGGTGGATGCGATCGTCGATCTCCGATAGGGCTTCTTTTAGCTCGTCCAGCTGCTCGATCTGCTCCATCTCCTGGGTCTCCAGGAGTGCCAGGCGATCCCTGGTGCCTTTGAGCGCTATCTCCACGTTGTTGATGCGCTGGACTGCCTCGTTCCGCTGCTGGCTGAGCGGCTTGAGCAGGTTGGCGCAATGCTTGAGGACCGCCATTTCTTCTTTTGTCTCCTGGTCGCTCTTGCCGGCTTTCTGCGTGGCCAAGCAGATGCTGCCCAGCGCCTCGAGCTTTGTCCTCAGCTTGTCCTTGTAGGCCTTGATGCCCGTGTGGTCTGGTGGCGGCTGCCATTCCTGCCAGAGGGGATGCGTCACTGCTTGACTGTGCAATGCTGGCGGTATTCCGCCGATGAGCTGATTGACTTGTCGCTCCTGGCCATAGTGCTCTTTGACAGGCGGACGTGCCTTTGAGCGCGGCCTTGACTGCGGCCTGCCTTGCACTGTCCTGGGCTGTGATCTGCCACGCTTTCGCTGATCCCAGGATTCGCCGCATGCCGAGCATGACCAGGACCAGGGTGCACACTTTATGCCACACTTGCAAGTCCAGCCGCCTGCTTCCATCTGGGCGCTGCCTGAGGGGCGCCGTGATGAATGATGTTCTTGCAGCAGCCTGGCTGCTGCTGCCACCCGTAGAAGTGATCTGGCTTCTCCGCGCCGACGGCGCAGATGCCTGTGCCAGGCTGGCTCCCGCTCGCGGCTTCGCGAGCGGCTCGATCGAGCGCGGGCTCCAGCGGCAGCCGAGCGAGGCGTGGTCTCGCTATGGCGGCCGCGCGGCCACGCTGGGGTCCCTGGCCGATGGGCTGCCCTATGTCCCGCGGGCTGCCCGAAGCCAAGACGCCTCTCCTCCTCCTCCTCCTCCTCCTCCTCCTCCTCCTCCTCCTCCTCCTCCTCCTCCTCCTGCCCCTCCCCTCCCCCTCCCCCTCCCCCCCTCCTCCTCCTCCCCTCCCCCTCCCCTCCTCCTCCTCCTCCTCCTCCTCCTCCTCCCCTCCTCCTCCTCCTCCTCCTCCTCCTCCTCCTCCCCTCCCTCCTCCTCCTCCTCCTCCTCCTCCCCCTCCCCCTCCCTCTCCCCCCTCCTCCTCCTCCTCCTCCTCCTCCTCCTCCTCCTCCTCCTCCTCCTCCTCCTCCTCCTCCTCCTCCTCCTCCTCCTCCTCCTCCTCCTCAAGTCGGCGGCTCGTGCTGGCGCGGCCGCGTGCTCCCGCCGAGCCTCGGCGGCGCGCAGTGTGGGCCGTGGTGCCGCCGACGGTCGCTGGAGGAAGGCGGGCGCGAGAGCAGGGCGCCAGGCTTCGGAAGGCGGAGCCGGGCAACGCCGGCCACGGCCTCGCGGGGCGGCCACGGTGACGAGGGGAGGCTGCCAGCAGGGTGCAGCGGGGGCCTCGGGCAGAAACTCACAGATCCCCGGGGCAGCAGTCGCGGTCCCTGGGCGTGGCACGCCGTGGATCCCCGGCGAGCCGGGGCCACCCGCCTCACTCGATTAGACGTAAGAGTGACCTCTCGCCGGAGTGGCCCTTGGCGCGGGCACAGCTGGGTCCCCATAGAGGGCTGAAGACGGAGCAGGAGCAGCGGCTCGCGAGCCCAGGTTTGGCCCCCCCGCGGCCCCCCCAAAAGTCGCGCACCAGAGGTCGCTCTTGCCCGAAGGATTGCAAAAAAAACCTTCGGTTTGTTTTGCAATCCTTCGTTTTGTTTTGCAATCCTGTTTTGCAATCCTTGTTTTTTTTCCAATCCTTCGGTCACTCTTGCGTATCGCCGCCTCGCACAGGGGGCAGCCTCGCCGGCGGCGCGCGCGCAGGCGTGGCCGGGAGAGGGGCGGGCGGCGGCCTCCGGGGCCCCCGGGGCGGCGCCCTCGGCCGCAGCGCGGGTGCCCGGCGGCGGCGCGTCCTCCTCCTCCTCCTCCTCCTCCTCCTCCTCCTCCTCCTCCTCCTCCTCCTCCTCCTCCTCCTCCTCCTCCTCCTCCTCCTCCTCCTCCTCCTCCTCCTCCCCCCCCTCCTCCTCACCCTCCTCCTCCTCCATCGGGTCGGTTCGGTTCGGTGCCTCGTCGTCTTCCTCTGCTGCTCTTCCAGCGTCGTCGATGGAGGCGACGATAGGGGGCGAGCAGCCCAGGGGGGAGCAAGAAAGTCAGAAGCCCTGATCAGGACGCGCGGCCCTGCCCAGGGTGCCCCTGCGTCCTTGCTCGTCCTTGCTCTCGCGTCCCTGGGGTTTTCGTCGTCCGCCGCCCCCAAAAGTCCCAACTTCGGCTTCCAAGGGTCTTGCGTCCTTACCGCGCGTCCTTACTAGGGTTTTTGACTGTACATGTATCCAGGGGCGCCGATGGTCCATGTCTTCGGCAAGGCTCCCGGGCGAATACGCGTAGTATCCGCCCCTGGGCTGTTCGCCCTTATCGTCGCCGCTGGGAGGACTGGGATCGGGTGCGATGCCGAGCTTCGACGTGCTGTAACTCCCCAGAGGCGAGAGGCTCAACATGAAGCGAATTCTCCCCAGGGCCGGTTCCACGATCGCTCGATAGAAGTGCGTACCACCCTACCTCCTCCCCTGAGCCTGTGACTTCGGGGCCCCGCTTCTTCTGCGTACGGTTTGAACACACTCGATGTCAACACGTGTCCTTTCATGTGCGGTTGTTCTCGGAACGCTTGTATTGGTTTGTTTGAGAATCGTGCTCCCGCTGCAGCGTCGGCCTCATTTCAGGATTGGTTTGCTCCCGTCGTTCTGAAGGGCGCTCTCAGCCCAGCGCGGGCCACATCTCTGGACTCGATTCCTTTCTCGACGTTGTCGCCCCCCTCATTTCCCCTCCTCCGCCTTTCCCTGGTCATCCTGCTCCCGCTTCTCCTGATGCTGCTCCTCCTCTGCCTCTTCTCCTCCTCTTCCTCCGCCTCCTCCTCCTCCTCCTCTAACTCCTCTGGCGCCACGAGAAGGGACGGCTGGGAGGGCAAGGATGTCAGATACGGCGCGATCGCATTTAGCTTGCCCCCGCCCCCGATCTCCCCCTGCCCTCCTGCGCTTCCTTCCCTCCCCCCCCCCAGGCTCTCCATACACACGCAACGGCCTCTCCCGCCTAGCCTCAGGTAGGCCCCGAAGATGCTCCGCCTTGGTAGCTCGCTCGCTCGCTCGCTTCCCCCCGCCCCCCTCGCACCCTCTCCTCGCGCCGCCCTGCTCCCCCGTGTCAGGCGGCGGGCTCCTGAGGGCTGCCTGCGGCGCGCCTCGCCCCCGCCGGCAGCAGGCCTCTCTCCCCGCGTCCTTTCCCCTCCCGCCCTCCCCTCCTCCCCTCCCCTCCTCTCCTCCTCCCCCTCCCCCTCCCCTCCTCTCCTCCTCCCCCTCCCCTCCCCTCCTCCCCTCCCTCTCCCCTCACCTCCTCCCCTCCCGTCCTCCCCTCCCATCCTCCCCTCCCATCCCCCCTCGTCAGGGTAGAATGTGCTTCTACGTAGCACCTCGCAGATGCGGATGAGAGCGAGTGGGCGGCGGGGACGTCGGCAGTCTGCGAGCCTCTGAAGCAGCCCGTCGCAGGCGCGTTTTTTTTTTTTTTTTTTTTTTTTTTTTTTTTTTTTTTTTTATGTTTAAAAAAAAAAAAAAAAAAAAAAAAATATATATAACGTGCCCTCCGCAGGCGCTGATTTTTCCGTTAAGATAATGTGGGCGGGTCGAGGGTGGTTCGCCGCTGGGTCGCGAGCTGGGTCGCGGGTGGGAGACGACAACAAACAACAAACAACACACAGCAAACGACAAACAGCGCAACGACAATTGGCACCGTGGAATCTCACTTCAGCCACGCGCCCAGAGACAATGAATGACCGTTCGGCCCCTTCATTCTGACAGTGAAGTGTCTCTGTTATTGGGGGTCCCCCTTCAACAGTTTAATCCTGCCCCCTGCATCTCTCTCTTCTTCCCTGCTTTCCCCCCTGGCAGCCGTCTGGCTTGAGCGGCTGCTTCTCCTCTTTTTGCGAAGGGGTCTACTCCTCATCCCGTGGGCCCTGGGACCCGCGGGCATTCATGGCGGGCCCCACCCGGGGGCTGCCGGCGCGCCCCGCGAACGCCCTTCGTGAGAGCGGGCTCTCAGGAAGGATTTGTTTTTGCCCAGGGGTGGACGGGTGGAGAGGCCCTTGCGGGCCGGGTGGGCGGGGGTCCGAGACGGACTCTGCCCATTGCCCGCCGCAAACAAGGGCGGGCCTCCTCCCTTCCCTCCAGTAGTGAGTGGGCCGTCGGGCAGGATTTGTCTCTGTAGTTGGAGACCCCCCCTTAACAGTTTAATCCTGCCCCCCTGCATTTCTCTCTTCTTCCTTGCTTTCCCCCCTGGCAGCCGTCTGACTTGAGCGGCTGCTTCTCCTCTGTTTCCACCCGCCCACCCTGCAGGTTTTCCCTCGCCGTAGGGCGGGGGTCAAAGACGGACTCTTCCCATTGCCCACCACAAAAAGGGGCGGGCCTCCTCCCATCCCTCCAGTGGTGCGTGGGCCGTCAGGCAGGATCCCATTGTTTTGCTGTTTCCGGGAACAATTGAAACCTGTGAGAACACACATTCTTTCCGTAAGTTTACAACTGCTCTTGTGTTTTACATGCGTTGTATGGCTCGTCTATTTCTTTTGTTTTTAATGTGAGTTTCTAAATCACCGAAAGCAATCGTTCAAACAAAATACACAGAATAGAGCAGATCCCTGGGTCAGAGGATTGCAGTTCGATGTTCATGAGGATTCAATGGAAATTCTTTCGGAATGGAACAACAAACAGTTTATTTCAGTTGCGACCCAATCGGAGGGGTTCTCGATTGGGATGGGGCATACACCAGATTCAGATGATGAGTCTCGTTGGCTTTGGAAACGAAGCCCATAGGGATACAATAGGGTTTGAAAGAGGCCCTATATTCAGAACACGTTAAAAAGTCACGCACCGCGGATCCCCACCGGCCAGCAACAACACCAGCCCAGCACAACTACGAATGGAAGTATGAGTATGACTGGTGAGAAAACCGATGCCCATGGCCCACCATTGCTTTTACGACTTGCTGCTGGCGTTGCTGATCTTGGCATGTCTGCAGTCACTGCCACCACCAGCGCCACCACCATAACCCATGTACCACCAACGCCATCCTGTCTGGTTCAGGATGTGGTGGTGGCAGTGGTGGTGGTGGTGGTCGTGCGCGTGCTGTTCCGTCGTCTTCCCCCTCCTCCTCCTCATCTCTTGCATTTCAAAGACCCCAGCTCTACAGCGCCTACTCCGACCATCTGTATGATCACCACTGTTACCATTTTCACAGCCGAGGTTGTTCTTACCGCGCCTGCGGCCACCACCGCGACTAACTACTACCAGCACGAATCTAGCGCTAATGCTACCACCATTGCGACTACTACAAATGCGACGGCTACTACGGTACGGGACGGAAAAAACTCCAAGCAGGATGGTCTGGTGGAGAATGGGATGAGCAGGGGAAGCAGGACCGCCACGACCACCACACCTTGTTACAGACGAAAGTGTCGTGGAGCAGCAGGCCTCATGTTCCAAAGAACCCATTTGTTTGTGGATCGGGTTCAAATGAGAATCCATTTGAAGTTGGGCATGCCGTAGTGCCAAATGGAACCTGCAATGAGCCACATCGAATTCGATTGGATTGGGTCTGGCCCGTGAATAATATTGTTTCAAGTGGATCCGAGTACGCGCGTATCACAGGGGCTCAACATACACGATCCCAGGCCCAACGAAATGTCTAGTGGATTTACGACTCACCCAAAAGGAGTTCGACAGTAATGGAGCAGGCACCTGGATCATATGGTTTCGATTGAATTTGCACGCGGCCACAATAGGAATTCCATAACAATGGAGCAATAACCAGTTCGGGAGGACTTCAATTGGATTTGAATTTGGGTCTGCTAGGAGTTCGACTGGGATGGAGCAGACCCCAGATTCAGAGGACTCTCTTTGAAGTTGAATAGGAAATCGGTACGAAGTCAATCGGAATGGGGAGAGACCTTAAGTTCACAATATCCCCGAAGGGTTTGGGACATACCCCAGCTTGAGAGGACTTCGATCGATCTTGACGTCGAATCCGTTGTTGAGCTTTCAATGAGGAAGCCTAATAACATCAGTCAACAGGACAACCTTCCGAATGAGAACGTTTCAGAACGCAAGAAGGCACACCGTCAAATGCAAACACGCTCCCCGCCATTATTGTTCCTCCCCTTCCATCTCTGCCTCCCCATCCCATCCCCGCCCCTTCCCCTCCCCATGCCCGTCCGTTCCCGCTCCTACCCTTCCGCAGCTGTCCAAATCATTACTGCCCTGTCGGGTCTGGGCTATTGTAATTGCGCGCGGGGTGTCCCCTGCGTTGATCGGGGGCGCGTTGATATTTCATCGGCACGCCATCGGCCGCTGGGAATAACGTTCTCGCCTCGTCGTTTGTCGCGTCCCTGCCCCCCCACTTGTGATGAGCGGTAGGGGTGGGATATCCGGCGCGGCACGAGCGCACCGAGTTGTTCCCGTTCTTTTCTCAATAAGGGTCTCTCTCTATCTTTCTTCCCCTCCTCCCGTTCACTACCGCCACTTTCGCTCTGGTCCTTTCTCATTCCTTCCCTGCCTCCTTGCCTCCTTCCCTTCTCCCCTGTCCCTCGCTCCTCGCTCCCCTTCCCCTTCCCCTCCCACTTATCCTTCCCATTTCTCCCTCCCCTCCCCGCCGCGTAGGTCCCTGCAGCAACCACGCCTCCACCGCGTTTCACCCCCGAAACAGACCACACGGTGGTAGACGACGACGGCCTGCGGCGGAAAATGCGGGGCTGCACCCGTCGCCATTGGCAGGGCGGGCAGAGAAGAAGGATCAGGATGAGGAGGAAATGGGGAAGAGGGAAGAAGGGGGTGGGCAGGGGAAGGACGGGAAAAATGAGCCACTGGTTGAAGAGGAGAAGGAGAAGGATGAGCAGGAGGAGGAGGAGGAACCATCGCATCTGACTGAAGGATGTCTTGGCTGATTAAAGTGCTGGCTGCGGCTGGCCCCAAGAGACGTCTGCGATGACCATACCGAGAGTTAGGGTCATGGATGGGTTCAGCGAAAGCCATTGGATTTGATTTCCATTGTTTGGGGTGTCGGCGCTCTCTCAGGCAGTTGAAAGTTGCCACTTCAATATTGCTGTGAGGGGCTCGGGGGCAGGGCTTCTGGAAGACTCTCCTCGTGAATTCTGAAAGCGCGACATCATCCCAGCATGCGAGAAGGCAGCTCTCTGCATGGAGCCTGTCGAACAAATATCGTGTGTCCCTTGCTGTTCTCGGGAAGTTTGGAGAGGGCCAAGCTGTATCCTGTCTATTTCTCTGAGTCCCGTCGGGCCGTGGTGGCCTCGGTGAGGGCTCGAGCGCCACACATCTCGCACAACCAAAGATTATGAAGCCCTGCCCGCTCGTGAGCGCGCCCTTCAGTCTGCTCGCCCTGGGGAGTGCAGGCAACCTCGGCCCCGGCAGCCCAAGCAGGCGGGGAGGGGGGAAGCAAGGGAGGGGCGATCAGGGCGGTGCCCACCAGGGGCTTCCAAGCAGGCTCGACAGTTTGCTTCCCACTGGCTCTCCCTCCAAGCTTGGGGGCGATCGTGAGCCAGGCGGGGAGTCCATAGTCGACGGACCTCAAACAGCGAACGATGAATGATCGGTCTGCCCCGTAGGTGGGCTTTGGCGACTCTGTCGGCGACGTCGTTTCCAACGGACAGAAACCTGTCATTGGATCCCAGGGAAGGCTATGTATATCCTGGCGCATATTGAGTTAACGTACTGTTGGAAGGGTACCCCCTGAGTAGTTACCTGTAGCAGCAAGCTCCAACCCAGCATTCATAGCATTCCTAGCATGGCCTGGCGTGGAGTATGTTCTTATGGTTCCAAGGCGCTCTGAGTGCGACAGACGAAGGCGTTGGCACGTAGGCCCGACAGCCAGAGCGGCGTGCTCGGCAGCAGGAGAGGTGGGAGGCAGCGACATCACGTCCGTCCAGACAGGTGGGCCCTTCATTCCCCCTCTTCGTCGACCACAGCGGCAGACCGGAGGAGGGGGAGGGGGAGGAGGAGGAGGAGGAGGAGGAGGAGGAGGAGGGAGGAGGAGGAGGAGGAGGAGGAGGAGGAGGAGGAGGATCTGGAGCCGTCTTGGAAGCATGTTGGGGCCATCTTGGTCGACTTGGAAGCCCAGTTGAAGCCATCTTGACCGGGACAGCCCTTGGGAAGCACATTTTACGATGGGGCCAGAGGCCATATGGGGAGCTCTTTGGAAGGGGCAGAACGTACCCACACATCGGCACGCCAAGTACCCCATCGCAAGCGAAGGGGGCGGCGGATCTGATGACGTTTGGCCCATCCCGCCAGTGTCCGTGTTATGGACCAGGGACATCTCGAGCCGTCCCGGAACGTCTTGGCCTTGTGGGCCCATCCAGGCTGGCTTGGCACCATCTCGGGGCCGTCTTCGGCCGTCGTTGGACGCCCACACCCTGGAGCGCCGAAGAGCGCCCGAGAACTCTGGCAAACCAGGGGTCGGGGTCCATCACTAACGGCTGTTGTTCGAGCTCTGCGAAGCTCCACAGCGCGCTGAAGGCACGGTGGCGGGGATCGTTGATCGTCGGACGTGTTGGTTCTCTTATGCTTCTGATTTGGGCACGGCTTGCGTGAATCAGTACACAAGGGGATTGGAGAGCGAGTTCATGAGACAGGGCACGCGCGATTTCGTAATTACCTACACGACCACCCTTCGGGTGATCAGGAGGTTGGAGGGGGGGGGAGACAGAACCAACTGCTGGCAGAAGCGATGGGTGTGATGATGACGATGCTGGTGACTCGCTCTTGAGTTAGCGACGACGCGTGATGACGATGTTGCGCTGCGATGTAATCTCACTCTCGTCCCCGCTTTCTATCTCACAGCAATTGTCACAAACAACCTCACAGTCGATCTCACTTTTGCTCTCACTTTCGATCCCGTTCTAGCGATCTCATTATCGATCTCACTATCGACTTCACTATCGGTACCAAAGCGGGACACCCCGGGCCACCGCCCGCCCACCGCCGACGGAACACCGACGGGACACCACCGCGACATCAATGGGACGCCACAGGACACCACGGCGGGACACCCCGGGCCACCGCGCGCCCACCGGGGGCGGAGATGCGGTCCATTGCATCCGAGTCGCCTTAGCGACGGCGGGGTCATTCCTCTCGCGCGCCCACGCAGCTTCGCCTCGCCCGCACGCACGACGCGAACACGAAACCGAAACCGATTTCAAGGTGGGGGGCTCTCCGTTCAATGGCGATCTCACCCCCCAACCTCCGATTGGTGCTGGCATTGTAACTGCGACTGATCCTTTGTAAGCAGATTCGGGTGGCCTTGAGTCGAACACGTCCTATGATTGTTGGAAGCGTTGTTGGGAGCCGTTTCGGATCAACATTGCCACTTCGGCTGTCAATATTGAACAGAACAGTCAGCAGCATACAAAACATGTGCTTCTAGTTATCCGAGCTCAGGTTGCAGCAAGCAACTAGTTGAATATGTTTGTTTGTGGGCCCAGGGTCAAATGGATCCAGTATGCAGCTCAATGCGAAGCCATGGTTGTGTTCCAGCCCTCGTCGTTCATGACGAGCACCGACTTGTGGCCTCCCGAATAAATTTACACATTGGACGTGGTCTGAACACATTGGGGCCATTCAGTTGGTGGTTCTGTTGCGTATGATTCATGGGCGCAGGCGAGCAAGAAGCGCCGGCATACAAGGAAAGGCCCCCCCGCACGCGCAAACCGCATGCGCAACGCCACGATACCGACTGATTCAACACAACTCTTCAGGCTGCTGGTACCTCGCAAGCCATGTGTCGAAAAACATACTGTCAACAGCAGGGGTCGTAATCCTTCAGATGCAGGTCGATTCCTGTCGCCAGCACGGGAGGCGCATTCGAATTGCGTTGGATAGCTGGCCGAGCGAATGTACTCTGATCGGTCTGTCGCATCTGAGGAGCATCAGGGTGTAACTTCCCAGTGCCTTCGAAGGTGGCCGTTCAGCATCAGCCGAGCCTTCAGCGCACCGACAAGTTCCGGGCCAGCCCTCTGCTGTGCCGCCACCGTGCCCGCGCCCGCCGCGGGGGGGGGGGGCGCCCCCCAGCCCCCGCGTGCACGTGTGCGACGGAAGACAATGGGGCCGACCGCGCCAACGTTTACGCGCAGGTGTCCCGCGTAAGGCCGCCCGTAAGCGCCCTCTCCTCCACGCGGCGTGCCACGCCAGCGGCCCGCGCACGCCGCGGCGGAAGGTCGCCACGTCTTCAAGCGCCAGGCCCGGTTCTTTTCGTCGCTCACCTTGGGCTCCAGAGCGCGGCAGGCGCCTGCCACAACCGCCACCCCACAGCAGTTTCCCGCTCTGGGCCTCGCCGCGCCTTGTCGCTCACATGGCGCCCATGGCACCCGCGGAGGCGCCGCAGCCGCGGCGGGGCCCTGGTCGGCCAGGCCGCGCCGGCGGCGCGGCAGGCGAGCGGGCCGAGGCCGTCGCGCTGCCGGAGCCCCGCGCCGCGGCGCTGCTGGAGCTGCTGCGCGGGGGCGGCGGCCCCGCGACCGCCGCGGGGCTCGACGGCGAGAGCGTCCGCTGCACCCTGGAGGCGGTGCTGCGGCAGCTCGCCCTGGGGCGCGGCGCCGAGGCGGGGGGCGTGCGCGTGCCAGCGGGCCTGTGGCAGCTGGAGGCCCTCGCGGCGGAGCTCGGGCGGCAGATTTCCCGCGCCAAGGCGGGCCCGGGGCACGCGGAGAGTGCGGAGCCCAGTGGCGCCGCCAGCGCAGGAACGCCAGATCGGGCGTTGCGCGGCGTGGGGGAGGCCGCGCAGGCGCGGTGGCAGCGGGCGCTGAGCGAGGCAGCCAGGTGGAAGGAGGCTGAGCTGGCCGAGCTCTCGCGCGGGCCCGCCTGCCCCGAGCTCTGCGCCCAGCTCTCGGCCCAGAGCGAGGCGACGCTGGCGGCGGCCATGCTGCTGCTGCAGGACGGGGCCGTGCCGCGCGGCCCTCCCTGGCGGGCGCCTCCCGACCTGGCGCGCGCGCCGGCAGCGCCCGCGGAGGGCGGCGCTGCCGTGCGGGCGGTGCTCGGCGCGCTGCGGGGCGGCGGCGGGGGCCTCCAGGCGGCGCTGGGGCCCCTGGACCTCGGCACGGCACGCTGCGTCCTCGAGGCCGCCGCGCTCCGCGCGGCCGCGGCTCCGCCCGCGGGCGGCGGCGCGGCGCGGGGGGGCGAGTCCGCCGCGCCCTCCGCCGGGCACCGCACGCCCTGGCCGCCAGGGTCGCGGCCGAGGTGGGGCGGGCCGCGCGGCCGGGCGCCGCCGAGCGCTGGCGCGGCGCCGTGGGCGCGGCGGAGGCGTGGAGGCGGCGGCAGCCGGAGCCGCTGAGCGGCGCCGCCGGGCTCTGCGACTTTGAGCTGGCCGCCGCGGCCATGGCCGCGGGCGCCGCGGCCGCCGCGTAGCGCGCGGCGGCGCGGCGGGGGCGCGCGGAGCGGGCTCGGGTCGCAGCGTCGCGGCAAGGTCCTGAGGTACGGCGGCTGCTTTTGGGATGAGCGTTCCATTACAACGGCTGGTTGCCCGAGCTCCTTCCAGACACCGCCAGCTCGCTCACATCGCCCGAGGTGGTGGTGCTGCTACACGCTGGTGAACTCACAGTGCGCCCCGCGCGCGATCAGCTGCTCCAGGACGTGGGCCATGTTGTTACGAGCTTGATCCATGAACACTCGATAGGGCATGCCTGCCCACGGCACCCACCTGGACATGAGTGCTTCGAATATCTCTTTGCCGGTAGGGTTCGCGCCACCGTAGCGTAACGCTGTCACTTGCTGGTACCCTGCTCCGTCTCACACCATGTTGAGGAACGAGACTCGAGTGCGGTTGGCCGTGCACTCCTCGAGGACATCGATCTCGATGAGGCAGTTGAACTCTCTTACGGCGTCACTGGCAGCTTGGTAGGTCTCGACGTAGTTGGCCTCACCAGACTGGCGCACACGCTGCACCACAAGTGCCCAGCGGCCTTGATGGCCTTAAGTGCGACACGACCGTACCGTAACAGCCTCTGGAGCGCCTCGTTCGACGGGTGCCCTGCTGTCGTGTGTAGGTCTAGTAGTGCTCGTCGTAGGCCAGCATCCACTGCCTTCCAGGCCTTGCGTGACTCTTCGATACTCTTCGTCTTTGGGTCGTCGTGGTTCGTCGTGCGGGGGAGGTGGTGGCGGCGCTGGCACCGCGCCGACGTCTGGAGAGGCAGACCCCCCTGGAAGGGTTGCTGCTGGCCTCTCGCCCTCGACAGACTCGTTCGGCGCAGCGCCAGCTGGTTTTGCCGCGCCAGCGCGACATGGGCGAAGCAGGGTTGGTCTTCCAGTCGTCCTGCTCATGGATACTGTCTCCGTTCTCGTCGACGCCCGCGGACTCGCGGTCTCCTGTCAGCCGTACCTGTGTCTCGTGGGAGAGACTCCTCGGGTCGACCTTGGTGTCCATCCAAGCGTTGTGAGTCACGAGGATATAACTCCCAGACTCGTCGGTGTACTCGCGGGCCGCGACGACACTGGCGGAGCCTCCACGCATCGGCCTCCTGCCGGTCTCGTCGCTGAGTTCCTGGACCTCTGCGGGGAATGCGGGTTGCTCGCAGTGCCTCGCGAGCAGCTCTTCGCACGCGCCCAGCAAGATGTCCTCCACCAGCTGCAGCGGGTACCCTCCCGCTTGCTCACTCCTGGCTCCGTTTGCATCGTGGCCTTCGATCAATCATCTCGGGCCGCTGTCGTGCATCACATCTCCGCATGAGCCTCTCCGCGAGCGCGCCCTTGTTCACCGCGCACCCACTGGGCTTCAGGTAGGGCCGTCCGCTCTCGGTGTCCCTGAGATTCCACTGGCACATGTCTCCGCGGACGAAGTCCACCTCTGGGTCTATCAACGCTTCCTCCAGCGCGGGGTCTTCCCAGGCGTCGCTCGCCCACGGATTCTCCGTAACAACAAACCTCCCACGCTCCAAACGGCGGTTGGCAACCCTCGCACTGAGCTCCAACAGCGGCCGCGCCTTCTCCCGCTTCTCCTCCACACGTGCCGCGAGTGAACCTCCACGTGCGATCTGGAAGCGGGACCAGCCGCCCCACGGTCCGCATGGCCACGGGATGATCGTCAACCACGGATCGTCACGGTCCAATTGCTCGAACACCCTCTCTTGGTTCGACAGTTCGAAGTAGTCGAAACCGTCCAGGATGTCGTTCGGTTGGGACACGGGCATGTCCACAACCGTGGCAGCGTACCACGTGGCTCCCAGCATCCCACAGAACAGATCCTTAACGAGGGTCTGGCCTGGCCGAAGACAACTCCGTGCCTCCCTGATGACACGCTCCTTGGGCCATCGCCCTCGTCACTGGACATATCCTGCTGTTGCTGTCGGATGCTCTTGCCCTTGCCTGCCGTCGTGGTACGACGAGGCACCTCGTGGATGGGCAAGCTGCCCACGGATACCTTCCTGTCCACGTCCTCCACGGCATCGTAAACCACAGCGTCCGGACTCAGTACCGTGGCGGTCTCCTTCCCCAGCGCCTCCAGCTGGTCAAAACCCACGGTGGCAAAATCAGTGATCTCCAGTGCCCAGCACCCCTCACTCGTCCTCCGCAGCTTCACTCCACTGAGGCCGAGCTTCCTGAATTCCGCCGTCCCCTCGACTGGGTCGATGACCATGCCCAGCGCCTTCTGCGTCTTGAGGGACAGCAGCATCTTCGTAGGTGGCCCTGGGATCCGATGGAAGCTGATCTCGCCACTCTCTCCAGCGATGCCGATCGTTAGTACATCCCTGAACATCGCCTCCTTGCGTTCTCCACCGCCATATCGATACTTCGCCTTGCACGGGTGGGGCTCAACACACAACCCGCACTTCTCGTTCAGCTTCGCCGAGTACCTCTCCAGCCGCTCGTCGCCGTGCTTGGTACTCATCTGAATCGTGTCCGAGCACGCGATCTCGTCATCGTCGCGCTCGCTCTGGTCGTCTGTAACATTCTGTAACGTCAGCCACGGCCGCGAACTCCTCGAGGTCAGGATCGTCGGACTCCTCGATCGACATTTAACTGAAACACATCTCGATCTGTCCGTGATGGTACTTCTTGCTGGTCGGCATGTACTTCTCTGCCGTTCGCGTACCGCAGTCACACTTCCACGCGACGGCGTACCGGTTCCTGTACCCTTTCACCATTCCGCCATCGGGGCATCTCCTGCACCGTCTGGGGTCTTCCCGTGGCCACTCCTGCTTGATGAGCCAGAGCCTGATCTCGCCCTCCGGCACGTCACACTGACCACCCGTCTTAGGAGTTCCCGGTGCGCTTATGTTCGGAGTAGCTGGCGCTGGGCGGTCATCCTGGGCCGAAATGCACACTCCTCCGGCTCGTATGTGGGTAGTTGCTCCGCCTTCACTTGAAATCCACACTCTGCCTGCATGCGACCCACTGCTGCTCGCTCCACTGGATTACGCCGCCGCTGCTGCATCGGGACAGCACCGACAGCTCTTGGTGTGGCCCTCTCGTCCACTACGTGCGCCGAAACCTTCACAAGCGCAGTCCGCTGCACCCACCACAGGGTTTGCCGCACCTCTCCAACACCTCCGTGCCCGACTGGCGGCCGCTCCTCCTCACACGGCGCCGCGACGTCGACCACGCCCCTTGCTGTCCGTGTACTTCTCCGTCGGGCTCTGCGTCGGAGACGCTGGTGCAGCCGCCGCCCCCGACGACGATGGTTTCGGGCCAAGCACCGTCGGTCCAGGCGGCTCGTCCACCATCCAGTAGTGCTCCGGCGACATGGTGCGCTTCTTGTCCTTGTCCTTGTCCGTGTCCTACCCTGCGCTGGCCACGAAACGCGCCCTCTCGGCGTCGTCGTCCGTGTCGTCCCTGATGGCGAAGCAGCTCTTCTGGTTCGTCCTCCGCCTCGGTCTTTGTTCTTTCCGCCACCGCTCCTGCCACCGCGTGGTTGGAATCGTCCTCGATCTCCTCGATCTCGGTAGAGGACGATCCGACTCGGCACAGCCAGGATCTCCTGCCCAGTGGCCGAGCGCTCCGCACACTCTGCATCGAGTCTTCTTCTTGGATTCCTCGATTCTCTTCTTTCCTATCTTCAGCCGTCCCCTGCTTGTTGTTCAGCAGCTTCCCAGGACGACTGGATTTCCGGGCCTGGTCCTTCAGCTCACGCATGGCCCGTCTGGCGATGAGCGCAGCCTGCTCCGCAACGAGGCACTCGCTGAGCGCCGCCAGCTGCTCCTCTGCGTCCTCGTCGCCAGCCTCGACTCCCTCTTGTAGCTCATTCAGCTCGTTCTCAATACCCGTCATGCCTTCGCCGTAGTCGCCGTCGTCTCCGTATTCGTCGTCTGGCTCTGGCTCTGCTTCGTCTTCGATACCGCGAGGTAGGCGTACCTCCTCTCGTGCTTCCCTTCTCGGCGATCGTGTCCCTGTCGCGGTCGTCCTTCCGCCTTGTGCAGGTCGACGAACTGCACTCTGATGGCCTCCGTCAGCTTCTTGGAGTCGTAGACGTTGCCGCAGCTCGCGAGAAACTGGGACCGCTGAGCCTTGGTCAACCCGCTCAGCTTCAACAGGAAGTAGGCCGCAATGTTGTCACTCAACTGCGTCGTCCTGTCGGCCCCCAGCAGCTGCTGTCTGATCTCGCTTCTTTCCGTCAGCCACGAACCCACTGCTTCAGCGCTACGTCGGCTGGAGCCGTCGAGGTGTGTGTGTGTGTGTCGAAAAGCTCGCCAACACGGTCCGGATCGATACCCTGAATGGCAGCCTTCAGCGCCATCACGATCGCTTCTATCCCTGAGTCCGTGCCCAGGTCCCTCTTGTCCGTGCTGGCGGCCTTGACCGCAGTGTACTCTTCGCCCCGCAGCGCGCCGTGGAGCCCCGGGCCTGGCGGCCCCGCCTGCTTGACCACGTCCTCCGTTGTGCCGACTCGCGGCGTGTCGACTAATGGCAGGGTGCTCCTCCAGCAACTCCGGCGTGCCGTCGTACAGTCGGGGCCCCGAAGAAGGAACCCTTCTCGTTGGGGAGGGGCTCCGCGTTCCTTTTAAGTGTTTCGCAGCTTGCCTCAGGTTTCCCTTTGGTTTTCGATCGGAAGTCGAAGTTTAACTGATGGAAAAAAGGGGCCTCGTTCCTTATGCTTAGGGTTCCTTAGGTCAACGCCCCGACTGTACACTGGGAGTCCCTGCTCGAAGGGCAGCGTCGGCGGCGTGATGAGGGCGGCGGAAGCGAGGGAGGCGATCGTCAGCGTCGTTGGGAGCAGCGCACTGGTAACGGTGCCGTGGACCGCCGCTCCGCGCACGCACCAGTGTGAGATACGCTCTTCTGCAGCAGCGCCGTGATGACAAGCGTCCCCGCCACACAGTGCCACCGATGGATGAGATGGATGCCCCGCGATATTTACTCGATCGTGCGAGGCGGTCGCACAGTAGCAGTGCTCAAAGGAGCCCCCTGTAGGCATA